AGAGGGTCAGCAAAAAAGAGGAAGACCCTCAATGAGATGGATTGACACAGTGGCTGCAACAATGAGCTCAAACATAGCAATGATCGTGAGGATGGCACAGGACCAGGCAGTGTTTCGTTCTGTTGTACACAGAGTTGCTATAAGTCAGAACCAACTTGACAGCACCTAACAACAACAATCTTTGTAACACATCTACTTAAAGTCAACACTGCCCCTTTTCATTGGAACAATATATTCCTTATTCATGTCCACCTCATTTGCCAATAGCAATCATTTTCTGCTATTTATGGACCTGGCCAATCTCCTTTATCTGTATTTGCATTGGAGGTTTTTTATTCCTAAGAATGCCTGAAATTTCCTCCATTAAACATCAGCCCATACTCACAGCACTACTTTTCTAATTTGTCAGTTTCAATTTGATTTTTTCTTCTATCTTTCCAATTATTAGCAACCTGATCTAATTTTACTCTAAGTTCAGATGAAAAAATTGAAGCAGCACAGGAGATCATCCTCCCTTTCCTCCCCTGCCCTGCCAATTCTGACTCCTCCCTCACCAGAGTACCCCACAGGTCTGCAATACTTCCTCAACTGAAATTCCCTGGAAACCTGAAGAATCATAGGAAGGCTTAGAAGAAAGAAGACAGAGAAAATATCTGGAAACAGTCTTACCTCCTGCACATTGGCCAGCTCCAGCAGTTCTCCAAAGACATACACTCCAGGAGCCTCCAAGACTTGGCTTATGAGGGCAGTAAGGGCTGAGCCACTGGTACCTTTGGCGAGTAAGATAAACTGTTCCAGGAGGTTACTTGAGGGTTTCTGTTCACCTGCCATTCTCTGGCCTAGAGATCTGTCCAAAAGAAAAATGTATCAGCGCGGTGGATTAATTACTTTTATGTATGGCCCTTCTAGCCATGGTCTTGTTACTCCGACTCAAGCGATTGGGCGGGACTGTGTGATAGGGTAATTGTGGCCTACCAAGGGGACTGGTCAGTTCTGCCTTAAAAGAGAGCCAGTTCCAGAGCAAAGAGAGGGATCCTACCACTACCAAGGAAGAACAGCCAGGAATGGAAAGCATGTTCTTTGGACCTGGGATCCCTGCACTGAGAAGCTCCTAGAAGCAAGAGACAGAGAGCAAGCTCTAACCCTGAAGATGGTGAGAAGCAGTGGCAGGAAAGACCTGGCAGCAGGAGACGAGATGGGCTTCCCGGCCCATGGAGAAAGCAAGCTGAGTGCCTTTGGGGAGAGGCCTATGGCCAGGAAGAGGCATGCCTGATAGAAGAACTGTATCTTGAGTGTTCCTGAACCTGAATTGTAATCTGTTAACTTCCCTAATAAACCCCAGCATCATGAGAATGGTCTTTTTGAGTTCTAAGTGGTCACTGCAGTGAATTATTGAACCCAGCAGAGAAGTAGAGAGAGCTGTATTAGGGGCGGTTGGTGTCAGAAATTAGTAAACATGGCGGACAGGGGAGGCTTGTTTGGCCTCCGCCTCATGGGAGTCAGCCTTGCGCTGTTGATCTTGGTTCTCCTTCCCTCTTGTGGGGTTGGAGGAGGTCAGACACTGCCCCTACGCCATTTTTACAGTCAGTCATTCCTCCTTTTCCTTTGCAAAGTCTACGCTTATTTACTGTTGGGTCAGATACCAGAATAATTGAGTGTTCATAAACAGCAAGCAGGTCTGAGTCCAAATGCAATGACCACTTTGCTAGATGGCTGGGGTTCAACCTGGAGTTAAAGGGATCTTGTCCTCATTCTCCTTTACTAAGGTTTGAAACACACTTAGTAAGCCTCTTCATCTCCACCTGCTTCTCTCCCAGAGGCACTACCTTCTAACCCCTTACACCTGACCAGAACCCAACACACACGCAGGACTTTCTCAGCAGCTGTTTTATACCCATCTCACTGATAAGACTCTGGTTAAGAAACAGAAGATACTGCCCATCCACAGCAGAGCCAGATGTAGAAAGAAAGGCAATCATCTGCATCGTCCAGTATGTCATCAAAATAACAACTACAGCCAGAGACAGATAAAGGAACAAAAAAAAGAAGACAAGAACGATGTCTCAGTTCACGAAAGAAGTCATTTAGGCAGAGGAAAAGGAGAAAAATCATTCTGAAAGATAAGCAGCAACATATTCAAACTAAAAGAGTACACGTTATGTGACTCCATGGGGAAACTCCCTATATGTGGTCTCCTCCTGATACGTGACGTTTTACCAAATATGACTTCAGAACTCGTCCAAAACCTCAGAAAAGCAATAAAAAGATTTGGGAAAACAGTGAGGATATCGTGTTCCATCCTGAAGACATCAGGTACAGGGGGGTCCCTCAACTGTGTAATCTAACTAGACGCCGTGTATATGTGGACACGACTGTATACCTACTCCGCAGGCGTCCGGTATCAGAAGATCGCCCCTCGGAGCACAGCACACACTGGGGCAGCGGGGCAAAATTAAGGAGAAAGGGTACAGCACAATGATGCCGAAAACAATTCAAAGAAGGGTAGTCTGGTGCAAGAGAAACTAAGTTTTCCTGTGGAAACTGGCACCAAGAGTGGCGGTCCTTATGTCACTTCACTTAAGAAGGTCTTGTCAGGAACAGAAAAAGCGAAGTGTTAAGGAACAAAGGGCTCTGAGTGGGGAAGGGGAGCGGGGAAGACAGGCAGGAGAGGGGCGGAGGTGATGGTTAGGAGAGGTGGAAGGAAAATCTCCTTCCAAGTGGATACGTGTGCGGAGACAGCTGGGGATCTGTCTGCAAAGGGACAGGAGGGAAGGGAATGGGGGTGGAGAGGTGGCAAGGAAACCGAAGCCTCGGTCCCTCCAAAAGATCTCGGCCTATGGGGCAAAGCCTGCGGGGGCAGGAAGGGTAAGGAGGCGGTGATACTCGCTTCCTACTGGAGCAGGAGTGCACGAGAAGGCTATGGGCAGGCGAGATAGACCGCCGTCAGGAGAGGGCGCTATTCTGATGAGAGGGAGAGGGGCGAGGGGTCGCGGGTCGGGCCGGACTTCAGGGCTGGCGACGTGCTCCCAGCAGGGCCGCGGGCGCGCAGTGAGGAGCAGCGGGGCGTGCTCCCCCGGGCGGGGGCGGGGCGGCGAGGACGCGGGCTTTCCCGGCGGCGAGCGCGAGAGGTGGGATGGCCCAGCCCGGTCCGGCGCTCCGCTCTCCGCGCGGCCCACCCTCTCGCCGGCTTCTACCTGTCCGCGCCGCCTCTCCGTCCTCTGAGTCGCTGGCTCGGCCTCCCGGCGTCTGCCCGCAGGTTGTCAAGCGTCCATGGTCGTCCCGGCGTCCGGCGCTTTTCTACCTCCGCCGACCCGTTGCCTGTGCCGCTCCCCCGGAAGCCTCCCCCCGCTGCACTCGAGTTCCGCCCACACAAGGTTCCCCCACGGCGATCGCAGCCTCCGACTCTAGGAAGGGTCGGGGCCAGGGGAGGGGTCGGGGAGGAGGGTGGCGAGGGACCCGAGAAGAGGAGTGCGTCCTAGGTGGGCCTGGTGCCCAAACCTTGGCTATCACCATCCTGGGGTCAAAATCCACCCCTTTGGCTACACTTTACACCTTAGGCGTGTCCTGTAGCTACTGCGGCCACCCCTGGGTACACCTAATAACAAGTACCATTTATGGAGCTTTTTTTCCATGTGCCAGGTAATATTAACTTTAATATTATGAAGAAGACTCATTCACAACCTGGGACATGGAGATGACACAACCTTGCTTGCCTAAAGTGAAGAGGAGTTGAAGCACTTACTGATGAAGATCAAAGGCTAGCCTTCAGTATGGATTGATTGTACCTCAACATAAAGAAAACAAAAATCCTCACAACTGGACCAATGAGCAGCATCCCGATAAACGGAGAAAATATTGAAGCTGTCAAGGATTTCATTTTACTTGAATCCACAATCAACCCCCATGGAAGCAGCAGTCAAGAAATGAAACAATGTATTGCATTGGGCAAATCAGCTGCAAAAGACCTCTGTAAAGTGTTCAAAAGCAAAGATGTCACTTTAAGGACTAAGGTGCACCTGACCCTAAGCCATGGTATTTTTAATCGCATCAGAGGGGTGATAATAAAGCTCTCCTAACTCTGCCTGGGAGGAGGTGATTTAGGGCAGCTGTCCTGGAGGACATGCAGCTTGAGTTGAGTCTGGAAGAGTGAGCAAGCAAATCACAAAGGGCTTACACAGGTGATGGAGTTTTTACTCTATCTAAAGGGCATTGGGAGCTATTTTAGAGTTTTAAGCTAGGGAAAGGTATTGTTACGGATTGAATTTGTGTCCCTCCAAAACTGTGTGTCAGCTTGGCTAGTCCATGACTCCCAGTATCGTGTTATTGTCCACCATTTTGTCATCTGATTTCCCTATGTGTTGTAAATCCTACCTCCATGATGTTAATGAGGTGGGATTACTGGCAGTTATGTTAATGAAGCAGGACTCGATCTATAAGATTAAGCTGTGTCTTAAATCCATCTCTTTTGAGATATAAAAGAGAAGCAAGGAGAGAGACACAGGAACCTCACACCACCAAGAAACAAGAGCTAGGAAAATAGTGCGTCCTTTGGACCCAGGGTCCCTGCACTGAGAAACTCCTCAACTGGGGGAAGATTGATGGCAAGGACCTTCCTCCAGAGCCAACAGAGAAAGAAAGGCTTCCCCAGGAGCTGGCACCCTGAATTTAGACTTCTAGCCTGCTAGACTGTGAGAGAATGAATTTCTCTGTGTTAAAGCCATCCACTTGTGGTATTTCTGTTATAGCAGCACTAGATAACTAAGACGTGTATGAATAATTGACATTTTAGAATGGTCACTATAGTTGCTATAAAGAATGGATTAGATGTGGAGAGAGTTGGAGGCAGGGAACCTGGGAGGTGGCTGATATATTCCAGATAAGAGACTAAGATTTTGAACAAAGGTAGTGGCAATTGGGGATGGAAAAGAGGGAACATTGCTGGGGATGTTTAGGCCACAGGACCTCTAAGACTTGGTGGCCAGTTGAATGCAGGGAGAGGGAAAGAGGATGTCACCCAGGATTCTGGCTTGGGTGGCCAGTAGCTGGCTGGCTGGAGGTGGTATAAGTAAACAGGGCTGCAGAGGAAGAGGGGCAAATTTGGGAATGAGAGGAAGACAACTGAGTTCAGTCTGAGCCTACTGAATTTGTCTGGGAGGCAGATGGGCAGACTGGCGCTCAGGAGAGAGAGATCTGAGCTAGAGACGCAGATTTCAGAGATCAGTGTGTGGACCGTAACTGAAGCTCTCAGTGGGTGTGCTGGTGAGTGAGGCAGATACAGAAAATAGAATCCAGAGAAAACCAGTGAGGAGGCCAGTTGAATACAGTCCACCTGAAAAGGAGAAGGATCAGGAATAGTCAGAGTTGGAGGAAACAAGCAAAGAGTGGGGTCCCCGACACCAGGGAGGAGAGAACATCCGAGGGCGTAATCAACCCATGGAAGGCTGCAGAGAAGTCAGGCAAACAAAGAACTGAAAAGATCCCATGGGATTTTGCAGCAAGGGGAAGACATTAGTGACTGCAGTTAGAGCAGTTTCAGAAGGGCAGAGCGAGGAAGGAGCGCAGATGGAGCCAGGGAGGATGGACAAGCTTGGGTGTGACAGATAAGACACAGCAACAGCTGAAGGGAAGTAGGGTCCAGGAGGGAAGATGGGAGACCTGAATAGGTGATATACACGGAGACAGGACTTGAAAGAACCACACCAAAACATTAACAGTGTCCTCTCTGAGTGATGGGAATAGAAGTATTTCTATACATTTCTGGCTTTTTCCAAAATTTCTATTAGGGTTTTACTTCGATCAACAGATTCCCTTGTAAAATGCAAATATCTTCCCAGAAGATTATCAGCTGTTCATACCTTTGTGTGAATTATTTAACTCAGAGCATTTTTTACCTTCTCAGAAGACTAACTACAGAGGCCAACTGAGAATTTAAGGTTTTTTCATTATGGCTGAGGTAGCAGAAGGGGAACTTGGGCATTGGTGGTATTTCTGAGGCCACAGCTGGATCTGTGAGTAGAAATTAATCCTTATCAAGACAGAACTAGTCTACAGGTTGGCCGGTCTAAAGTGAGCCTGTCTCTATGGGGATATAACCCAAAAAAACCAAACTGGTTGCCGTCAAGTAAATTCCAACTCATAAGGAGGTGGGGGAAAAAAATCTTTACCAGACAAGATACAAGAGCAAGATTAGTCCAAAGGACTAATGGACCACAACTACCATGGCCTCCATCAGACTGAGTCCAGTACAACTAGATGGTGCCCGGCTACCACCACTGACTGGTCTGACAGGGATCACAACAGAGGGTCCCGGAAAGAGCTGGAGAAAAATGTAGAACAAAATCCTAACTCACACAAAAAGACCAGATTTACTGGCCTGACAGAGACTGGAGAAACCCCGAGAGCATGGCCCCCAGACACCCTTTTAGCTCAGTAATGAAGTTACGCTGGAGGCTCACTGTTCAGGCAAAGATTAGACAGCCCCATAAAACAAAACAAGACTAATGGGGCACAAGAGTCTAGGGACAAGGACTAGAAGACAGGAGGGGACAGAAAAGCTGATAATAGGTTGAGAAGGGACAGTGTTGACATGTTGTGGGGTTGTTAACTATTGTCATAAAACAATGCGTGTAGTAATTGTTTAATGAGAAACTATTTGTTCTGTAAACCTTCATCTAAAGTGCAATAAATTAAAAAAAAAAAATCTTTACCAGAACTCCTCCCAGGGAGAGTGCTGAGGTGGTTGAACCGAATCTTTTGATAGGCTGCTTGAGCGGGGATAGTCCTTGCGCATCACCACCCTTCCAAACCCATTGCAGTAAAATCAATTCCGATTAATAGTGACCCTATAGAACACAGTAGAGCTGCCCCATAGGGTTTCCAAGGCTGTCATCTTTTTGGAAGCAAACTGCCACATCTTTCTCCTGTGGAGTCGCTGGTGGGTTCAAACCATGGATCTTTCAGTTAATAGCTGAGCACTTAGCCACTGTGCCACCAGGGCGCCTTCCAGTAATCACAGGTGGTTACTAAATGCCTTCTAAGGAGGAAAGTGAGGGTGCATCTGTGAACCACAGGCTTTTGTTTGGTGGGTGGGTGGGTATGCAAGAGCTACCCTGGTCCTTCTCACGCTGCTCAGTGCTTAGTGCTTCTACATAAATAACCGAGAAATATTCAAGGACTCCGCGAAGGACAGCTCTCCTAGCACTCCCAGTTTGTAAAGTTTCCAGCAGTGCCTCCACTTCCTCCAGAATGATGTCCAGATCCCAAGGCCGCAGTTAAAGGTCTTGGTGGTGGACCTCATTCCCACCCTTCCAGCTTTGTCTCACAGCACAAACTCCAGGCCTTCCCATACGCAGCACCACCTGCACTTTCCCTCCCTCACACCAGGGCCTGCGCTCAAGCTTGCTCTCCCCTTTGCAATGCTCTTCTCTCATATTTGCCTGTTAAAATCCTACCAACCCGGTAGGCAAAAATTTCCTAAACTGGAAGCAAAAAGCACTAACATAAAAGAAGACACTGAGTGGAAAACATTTGTGGCAGTTCCTCAAAAAGCTCAAAATAGAACTACCACATGACCCAGCAATTTCACTCTTAGGTATATACCCGAAAGACTTGAAAGCAGAGACTTGTACACCAGTGTTCATTGCAGCACAATTCACAACAGCCAAAAGGTGGAGACAATCTAAATGCCCATTAATGAATGAATAAACAAAATGTGGTACATACATACAATGGAATACTATTCAGCCAGTAGGAGAAATGAAGTCTTGATACTTGCTACAATATAGATGGAGCTGGAAGACATTATGCTAAGTGAAATAAGTCAATCACAAAAGGACAAATATTGTATGCTCCCACTTATATACAAAGACAAGAAAAGGCAAATGTATAAAGACCAAAGTTTATTAGTGGTTACCAAGGGTGGAAGGAAGAGGGAAAGGGGAAGTTAATGGTGATAGAAATATCTCATTTTTTAAGGGCAGGGTTGCACAGCTGATTATGATAATTGCTGTCAATAAGTTGTACACCTGTAAAAAGATGAATTGGCATAAGTTATGTAATAGACATATTTACAACAACAACAAAAAGAGTAGCTATGGAGGCTGCTTATGTACAACCAAAAACCTCATGGGATTTGGTTTCTTAGTTCAGAGGTTTAGGGTTTCATGGGACATCCCAGTTAATTAGCTTAATGACATGTTTAGTGTTTCTGTTCTACCTCCTAGTTTGATGGGTAATGCCTGGGGTCTTAAAAGCTTGCAGGTGGCCATCCAAGGCTCAACAAT